ATAAGCTCATAAAACAGTCACTGCCAGAGTGGGTAAGGACTGCAGCAAAGGCCGTGTCTATTTTGGGATTACTAAAAGAAAAAAAAAAAAGTCATCCACTGCAATTTGAATCCTGGTGGCAAAGCCCAGCCAGAGAGTCCTACTGCTGGCAAATCACATTAATGAGCCGCAGAGTAACTTGGTCACACAACCAGCAACTGGAAGGTCATTGCTAATTGAATTACCCACTTCTGTCAAGGCAATCTGCCTCAGTGGCTGGCTGATGGAAGGCTGTAGATAATCATTACGTGGCACCTCAGCGCAGAGAGGCAGCCCCAGCCAGAATTGATTACAGGTTTGATTCACAGCTGATTCTCCCCAGAGACTGAATCCTCCAGTGATAAATGACATCAATGGGAGGGGGGCGGTAGATCAAAATAGCACGTTATCAGGCTTTATTAACCGATCGATAACTACGCAGGGCATCCTAATATCCCAATTATTAATGTTTTCTGCGCCGTCATTGATTAGATATAGGCGTCGGAGCTCAAAAAACAATTTAAGAAAGATAGGCACGGAATGGGAACAAAGCTGTAAAGGCAAAACGCAATGGACGTGGTAAGAGCTTTTCTTTGTTTTCTGCGATAAATAATGAAGGTTTGAAGGAGCGCGCACAGTTCTCCCAAAACATTTACTAAAGGCACACCTGGTGCCAAGGCCTCATGTCAAAACTGAACCCCATTATTCACTATCAAGGCATCCAGCTGTCACATGGTATTTGCTGGAAACAACCTCTGATTGCACAGCGCTCCTTGGCGCCAGAAGGGCAGTGCAGTTATCACAGCAATTCTTCATCTGCAGGCACCGAGGATAGATCAGCCTTGAGCGACGGAGCACCAAACCTGCGAGGTGGGGGCATCCTCCAGTGATCTATAATATTCGCTCAGACCTGGCTCTTGGAAGTGGTTAACAAATACAATTCTGAATTTCTAAATGGCTCTCAGAACAAAATCCCCCACCTGGTTTCACACGTTATAAATGGGGAAGTAAAAAAAAGGCAGTAATTTTAATAAAGAAATTACATTTTCCTCGCTAAGGGCATTCTAGAGTCCCTGTACTGTATAAAGATCCAGTACAAGGAGATGTACAGATCGGCATTTAACATGCCCTACTCCATCAAGACAAAACAGTCTCTATCAGACAAGTGAAACGACCAGTTTGAAATTAGATGTTATTTCGGTGAGTGCTGACAAAAGAATTCCTGTTAAATTTAAAGGTTGTGCTAAATCGCCACCAACAAAAATACAGTATCTGCACTAGAATAACTAAGCAGATATAAAACTTTCCTGTGCCGCTGTAGCATTTTTATTGTGTTCTTCGCCTACTCAGTTCGCAAATGCAATTTTGAAGGAAACGCTTGCTAACTCACTTTCCTTCAAATGTGAGGGGCTGAGACACACCAAACTACATCGGGTTTTCCTTCGGGGTCCTTCTTTGTCTGTATTATTTAAAAGATATACTACATTTATCTGCACGTGGACGCACGCAAACAGGGTTCAAAGAGGCAAGGCCACAGCGAGATTCAGTTTCACACTGTGGTAAGCAGAGCCTAATGCACGAGCACACTCGGCGAACACCGTCCAAAGCTTCGCCAGGACTGTAATAAGCATGCTGCCCCGAAAGCAAGCAGATAAACCATATGCCATAGCAGTCACCAGCCTTCGACTGGGAGTCCCTATACAATTAGAGCAGCAGTGCAAGGCAGGGACTCTTGGACGAGTGGCTCACACATTGCAGGAGCAATCTTCACTTTCCCCTGCCAGCAGCCACACAGAGCTCGCTGTGAGGAGCAGGGCTCAGCAGGGGAGCGGATAGGTGCCTGCTGTGCTTCCATTAGTCAGGGGACTGACACATTCTCAGCATTGGAGAAGCCGACCGCTGCTGTCTGTTACTGCGCTGACAATCTGGTTAGAAACAGAGGCTTAAAAAGACAAGGCCACTGGAGTTGTAAAGGGTTACATCAATCCTTACAGATTGTACAATATTGGCGAGGAGAAACAACTTAGAAGGATATCGGCCATCCACCAGACTTACACGTGAAGGCCAGATATTTGGAATTTGATATAATCAAGATGTTAATAATTTTGGACGTGTGATTGGAGAAGGAACTGGCTTATCTCATCACCAGCTTCACGCTGCCCTTTTCTTAGGGCACATGATTATTCAAGCAATAGGGTTATGCATATAATTGTGTTGTGTTAATCAAGAGCAGAAGGAAAGAGTACTTTTGTTGATGAAAGAGAAAGTTTGCACCCACTGTCTCAGCATATTCGAAAATTCTCAGCACCTCTCTGTCATACCGATGAGCTGCTATGCAGTGCAGCGCTACTTTAAATAATTGATATGCTATGTCACTCACTTAACCATTATTTCACAAGGGGATCCCAGTGGCATTCATCCGGGAGACCTGGTCAAGAATGCAGATTGAATAACGCTCCGTACCAGAAATCTGGTCATTGTTCCAGATGGAAGTCAAATCGCAGCTTTGCATTTTCACCGCCAGTTCTGAAAGAATCAATCAAAAGCTAACATCTCCTGCGTTAATGAAATTTGTGCAGTTACTGCATATAGATGGACAGAATCATTGGTAAACCACAGGAGTGTTAGGACTCCCTCACAGGAGTTTTAGTTCCAGTGTGTGATCCAAACAATCTGCGCACTGTTCAGCCTCAAAACTGAAAAAGTTACACTTTTCTACATATTCAATAAAAAAATCAACCACAATCAAAACTGCTGTTATAAGGAGGATATTAAGTAGTGATGTAGCATTTTTTTTTTTCATTTGACGTGACTTTAACGTGTCTGTCTTATGTCTGCACAGACGTTGCTCCTGCAGAAAACATCATGATGCCATTCTGCAATTTGGGGATTTCAAGAGTCAGGCTTCAAGCACTCAGAGTGTTCGTCATGTCTCGGAGATGTTTAATAGGTTTTTTACACTGCCCTTACGAATATATGTCACCTGTTTTGTTTAAATCCTTTCATGGGGATTTCCATTATTTGATTTTTTAGTCACTCAGGGAAAATCAGGTAATTTCACATGAATATAGAAACCTCATCTTTATAGCATCTTCCAGCATAATGTCAAACATTGTTTTTCAACTAAATGTGCTTGAACTTAAACAATTTTAGTTACTTGCTTTAACAAAAATGATGTGATGGAAGCAGTGCAGCATTAGTAAAAGCTGTCATCCAGTGAATTTGTTTTGTTGCGGGCTCAGACTGTATATGCGGTTTTAAAACAACAGGCAAAAAAACAAAACTCAGTGTGAAGTATTTATTATAATCTAAATATGTTCCAGTCACCCAGAAGGCAGTGTAGTGTGTGAAAGGGACTCCAGTAGAGCTGTATCACAGAACAGAATTTCTGCTGCAGGGGACACTCGGGAGATTTCATCAACAATTCCAGAGGTAAAGGGTTAATTAAAAGCTAATTAGGTAGAAAATTAAGGCCAGAAACACAGTGGTCCAGCTGTGCATGTGTTCCCGCACATTGGGAATAAAGACTTGCAAGCAATTTAGGTTCTGAGAGCAACTGAATAAAAATGACTATGGGTACACAGGACCTAGGTGCTCAAGACTATGAAGAGATAGAGCTTTCTTTTATGTGTGGTTATGTCACGGGGCGTAATGAAGGACTGAGGCGGCCTTGTGCTTTCTGGTTCTGTGAACGTCTGAGGTCTGAGGTGTCGAGACCTGCGTGTGACGCTCTCCTGCGCTTGCGGCTGGGCTCGTCCACCCGGGCGGGGGGGTGTGAAGGTCTCGTGCCTGGGTCTCTGAAGCAGCCTGGCGTCGTCGGTGTTTGACTACGGCGGGCGAGCCCCTGCTCCCAGCCCCGCGGCTCTAATGAGCCTGAGCAGCCCGAGCTGTTCATCAGCCCCTGCACCTGTCATCTCTGCGGCTCTCCGCAGTGCCGCGCGCCGCTTCAGACCACCTGGCTCGATGGGGATGATTAGGAAGCTTACGAGCAAATCATGTTCTCCGCTGTGTCAGGGAATCAATTTTTTATCCGGTCCTGGCGCCGCGGAGCACGCGGGAGCAGCACAAAGGACAATGAGCGCTCCAGTGCTGACTCACGGCTTCCTAAACGCACGCCGCTACAATAGCGCATTCCGCTCACCTCTCTTATCAGTCCCATGCCACCCGAAAGCTGCTGCGCAAGATTAAGTGCTCCTCGCCAATCTCAGGGAGCGCAGGGAAATGTCTTTAATGTGCCCCGCGCTGCTGGAAGCCTGGGCCTGAATGCTGAGAGCGCCGGGGATGAGATTTCAAAGCACTCTCACGCCTCTGCAGAGGCAGCAATTACAACTCCCCTGCCCACCCACCTCCCTCCCTCCCTCTTCCCTGCTCTCTTGTAAACCAGCCAGGCTCGCGGGGAAAATGCAGCGCAACTCAAGCTGCCAATATTATTAATATTTTTTGCATGCCTCCAGGAAAAAAAAAAGCACACAGCCCATTTTCAGGGGCTGAAAGCGATCAGAGTATTTCATTTATCTGTGGAGCACAGTGAGATGAAAAGCTGCCTAAGCCCTTTAACTCCTCCGCTGCTGGATTTCATTCCAAGGTTTATTTGCTCCCAGATCTACCACCTAAATACATTTGAAGCCATTCATTATCCTTACTTTGGTTAATGCTCAATCACTTGCATCAGCAGCAATATTTTAATTATGTTTGCTGAAGGACTCTCAATTCATTCTATAAATGGGAAAAAAAAGACTTGTATCATGCATATATATACACACCTCCTTCCCTGATCTTTTCAGTGAAAGGCAGAAACATCTTTTATAAAACCATACCTGTAAAGATATTTCTCATTCAAAAGTGAAATTAAAAATGGAGGAAAAATAAGATTTTACTCACAGAGTACATTTTTTTCATTGAACAGAGGTTCCAAACAATAACAGAAGTACAGATGCACCCGCCTGGCAAAGCAGGACAGTGGTGTGCACACAGGGTCTTACCTGAGCCAAGGAGTTGTACCTCCGGAGAAGCCAGATCACAAACAGCATGAAAAGGCTAAAAATAAAAGAGAAAAAAAACAACCAATGACATTCAAAATACATTTAAAGGATGCTTCAAGACCCATTATCTAGGTATCCATGCAAATACAAAATCAGCCTTCAGTTCCTGTGCAATGCACAGCTTGAAAAAATTCAGCTCGATTGCGAGATTCAGATATTTAGGAAGTATTCTCTTTAGGCTTGCCAGTTTCCTTTGGACCTTCAATTTCTCTCTTTTTTGCTTTTTACAACTTAAGAACTAGAGAAATTTGTTTTGAATCCTTGCCAAGTGCATTTTCCACACTTGCTAAGACTCTGCACTGCAGAGCTGGAGACAAGATGAAACTTTCATATTGCCAGAGGTGTTTTTCTTACAGGCAATTCTGGGTTACACAACACAAAAAGACTGCTCAACACAATCGATGCGAGAGAGACAGTGACTTTGAACATTTTATACACTTCAACAAGTTGCCGGCCTGACCTTTTCTTAATCTGTCTGCTTTTGGCTATTGTTTCTTGACATCCAGGAAGTGTTAATGGGGAAAGGGTCAATGTTCGGCAAGCAAGCAAGCAGGAGTGCACTTTGAGGTGTAGAAGCAGCATTCAGAAATTCATACAAACTAACCATTTCACTGGAGTATATGTAGATATTATGGAATAATTTCTTCCAGGTTTTATATGAAAAACATTTTTTGTATGTTTGGTAGGTATGTTTTTTATATGAATGTTGACATCATATTAATAATAGGGTTCATTGTAATATATTTATCAACAGTTAAATGCAATGTCACAAAAGGACATGTTTTACTCAAGTCTAAAAAGTAAAGAACATCCCAAACTATACCAAAAAAGGAAACTCACCATCCTATCAAGGAGAAGGTTGCCGTCGCCCGTTTCACTGCAATTATTGTCACCTAAGGATGCAATCAAAGTCATCGTTCATAAATATTTTCAACAAAACTAATGTGATTTCTTGAAATTGAAAATGACAAATCTCTCAACTATATACACACGCATATGTATTGAATACTAGCAACCTTTGTAATAGAGAGTCCTATTGACCGGAGAAGGAAACCACCTGCAGAAACATATGACAGCACTCTAATAAAGAGAGGTCATGAATAATAAGTGATGTGATACAATGTTTAAAGACTTTAGTATTTGTACACGGTATGTAAAAAGTAGAAAAAGCCAGTAAATGTCACAAACTAAAAGCAAAATACAATGTTTTTACGACATAATATTTTATCATCTAAAATGTTCTGTTTATGAAATACACATGCAAGAATAAAAACAAGATAAAGCTCAACCCTAGTTCTCCATCAGGAATGCAATGCGGTGCTCACCAATGGAGAAGAGCCATTTCATTGACCTTCGCTGGCACAGTATGTCTTTCTTCTCCTCAATGTCACAGCGAGATGGTAGAATCTAAGCCATTTTTAGCATCACTGCTGACTAGTCAGCTTTCTCGCTGAATGTTACTAGATCGCTTCTTTAATCAGTAAGACCCCTCCCTGCACAGAGGAGGAATTGTTCTCCCTTTCCATGTTGCAGATTACCCTTCAACTCTTTCAGGTAAGATACACAGGAACCTCCTCCTAGGCTTTTTCGCTACTCGTCTGGCGGGTCTCTTTTTCCCGGGATCTTGCCCCTTGCTTCGCAGGGTCTTTCAGTCTCAAGAGCTCCACCAGTCCTCAACAATACCTTTCAACTTCCACTGGCCTCAAACAACTCGATAACTATTGAAGATACTCAGATACTCAAAGGCTTTCTAGGCTCGGGACCTTCCTGAAGTCAATTCATTCCACAGTGTAAGGCTTTCATGAGGACCTCAAATATTCTCAACACTTCCTTTTTTATGCTCTGTGTTTTGCTTGAGCCAGTTTCCTTCTTTGTATGGGAACTTGCCTGTTTCCCAATTGCTCCTGGGCTTTCTGGAGCCAATGCTTCAGGTGCAGACTTGAACCTGGTGTCATACTTTGTTGAAGCTTTTGTTATGTACCGTCTAAATTATTATGTACTGTGTACTGTGTCATCTGCTGTACTGTGCATGGCGCAAATAACAATTCCAACGTACATGAACACGTACATGTCCATGCAGTGCAGACATTACCAGGACCTCTTACGAATTGCTCCTTTCTGGACAAGAGAGTTTAATTTTCTCTCACTTGTAACTGCTCAGCCTCTGCGGTCTCCCGAGCTGACACAGTGGGAGTAAGCATTCCAATAAGGAGGACACAGACATGCCCTAAACCAGAGCCAGTCAAGCTAAGCCTTCCTCCTCAAGAATACCGTCATCCACAGTTGTTCACCGATCCAACCACCTGAAAGGCATGGTACTTCAGACGGGACACCACAACAACCTCACCGCCTTCGCTACCCGTGGTCCTCAGGCACGGACGCCTTGCGTCATCCCCACAGCTGAGGTCTGTGAGGGCATCCATGTCCGTGTGTTGTCTGGTTGGGCCCATCCTCAACCACCCCAAGGTGATCTAAGCCTAAGGCTACATCTAAGGTCTCTGTGGCCACTGTTTTGGCTTGTAGGCACTAGCTCAGTCAGTTGACATTCATTTGCTAGAACTGGTGCGTTTTACCAGACAGGCTGCTGGCCTCAGTTTTGTCTGACATGAAAATAGTCATCCCAGAGCAGGCGGTATCATTAGATGTAAGAAGAAGAACCAGGCTGATCTGTCACCACAATTACTCTACACACTGCACTCGCTACTCGGTAGAAGGCCTCTGTGCTGACGAAATTCCACCTACCTGGAGAATGAGGCCTTTTGCCTCCAAGACCTACTAAAGTACATTCTACCAAGATTCAAGTCACACCACGGGCCCTCTGTGCTGGAGGGTCCCCTGGCAGGAGATCTGCACAGAGGCAATGCTGGCTGACCACTCTATGTTTGCCAGATTTTACAGCTTCAGAAGTGGTGGATTCTCAGCAGCAGCCTACTGGCACCCGGGTTCTGCGGGCTGTTCTGGACCTCTCTGAGGCCTGTCCTCCCATTTGGCTGGGCAGCCAGCCACCCACCTGTTCACAACAGCCTATCCACATTGGTGATGACTGCATACCGTTCTCGAAAGGGAACACTAGGTCGCCTTCACATCCTGGTTCCCTGAATAAGAAGGCAGTCATCAAATTTTCTGGCTCTCCCTCAGACGGCCACCTGTTCTGCCTAAGAACTAACGTAGATGATACCACGCCACAATCCATGTCCAGGAAAAGCAGAGTGAGCCTTAGCTAACCTGGCAGGGTCCCATCAGTCTGATCTCTACTCTGTCTCAGCAAACGCCTGCAATGAAGCATTTCCCCATTGGTGATGAATGCATTCCTCTCCAGGGAACAAGGGTTGTGAAGACAACCAAGTGTTTAATTTGCAGTCAACCCAGACACTTGCACAAAAGAATAAAAATAAAATATTTTGCAAACATTACTACTATTGTATAGATTGCTTCAGCTAACCACACTTTTACACCAGATGTTTAGATGCAGCAAGCACATTGAATTCCGTTCTTGAAGGATCAGATTCCACAGGTTTTAAATATTTCAATTAGCAACCAATTAAAACCTTAAACAATAGGTGACTTGCGTTTTTTCCTCATTGTCAATTCAATTAAGTAATTAAACACTGAGTTGCAAAGAAAACATGAGGTTCCTGCAGTGATCAAGTACTGGAGTCGTCCATTGTTGCCTTAAAGAATTATCATCTTCTGAAGAAACTGCAGAGCTCAGTAATGTCACTTTCTCTGTACAATCACAACCTCCACTCATCATTAAACTACTAAGCTAGATACATTTAATATGACGGGAGCCTAAAATTCTATCTACGTCTGTGAAATCTTAAATTATATATGCCACAGCAGTAGCAGTTAAGATCGCTTTATGTTACCTTTTCAGTAACATAATACAGTAAAACTGCTGTTTTCAGAATTCAACATCCAAAAAGAGCCACTGGAAGTAATGAAAAATACAGTTCATTCCAAATCTTTACTAGAACAGTAAAAGAATGCTCAGCTCAGCTGTGATTTAACAGCATTAAAACAACATTCATACAACGTCTAGAATTACAAATACTAGGGGTCTGACAACTAAAAGCCCTCCTGAACTAGGACGGTTTAAAGCCTTCTATCTAGGCTGATTGTGGCACAATTGTACGATAACAAGAATGGGCTTACAAGTAAGAAGTATCAAGCGTAGCCTGTTACAAGGCCAGGCTTGTTTCATACAATCACAACCATGCACATAAAACCTTCTTCCCCTTGCAAAGCGTACACCTGTTTTTTATTTCCCTAATAAGAAAACGACATACTGTAACAAGGGTCTGAAGTGTCACATAAATCTTAAAGAGTACTTATTTAAGAATCCCAACAGGTGGTTTTAATGCTGTTTACTGTTCACGATATGCCATACAAATAAAGGGATTACTGCACCATACTTAAACACAGAAGACAGATACAGGAAAGATCGGGAAATGACAAAACCTAATTCATGAACATAAAATAAATAAGGACCTCAATCCCCAGAGCACCCACCCATCTAAAATTCCAATAATGCTTTTGCACTGCACTCACCACTGCTACCATTTACAAATGTGATGGCAGAAAACTGAAACTTTGTTCATCAAAGCAGAAGTGTTCAGGTCAGAATGAATCAGTAGGGAAGAGAAAGAATAATGTTGAGAGAGACTACATTACAGAATGTTTAACAACAGAATGAGACGCCTTTATCTGAATGTGGCCGGCTGCTCCTAACACTTACAAAGACTGATGCTAGGACTGCTTACCCAGACTTAGCTGATTTTATTACTGTATCCATTATGATTGTATGATCGAGTGTTTGAAGTTAAGGAAGAGCTGTTACCAGATGGGGAACAGGCTCTTCTTTAATTTTCATGCATACCTTGCTAAGTCTTACAAGATGCACCAACAGAGGCTGATCTGGGTGTTTCTGTATTCCTGTTACTATACAGCCCAGGAAACAAAATCTTGATCATTTATTTTTCATTTATATGCACAATAAGTCATTCGTGCATTAAAAATGATATACCACCTCTCCAAAGGAAAGGGCTAGCTCAAAGCGAGAACAAGCCTTCAGATCACAAAGCAGTGACCCTTCTGAAACTTATCTGGCGCGTCATCTTTTATCTTCGGCTTTGACAGTATAGGTGACAGAATCATAGAGCATTTTTATGTTACCAGAGTCATGAATAGGGTTCACAGCCGGAAACATGAAAAGCCTTTGATAACAGTGGAAGAGTTGGAAGCAAAAGGACATGCGCTACCCAGAATCACTGCTTGCAGCTATTATATGCAGTTCACCTTGCACAAAGACCTGGAACCCTTAATGCTCTCAGTGACAGTGTATTGTGATTCAATATTTTCTGTGTGCACTTTAGTGCATCCCATCTAATTCCTATAAATGACCCGCAGAATCCACCTCTATTACAGAAAATGGGGCCATCTGGGAACTTGAGAAGCTTTTAAAACTACATCCTGTCGTTGCTATTACTAAAATCTTTCAGTTTTCCACAATACATTTTTGCAAGTTTGAATCCTACTCTAACAGCACACCTTAACCATCTGGATCTCTGAGCAGTGACTGACCTGAAAAGACTGAAGATCAGTGTAAAACCTTGCTCTCTACTGTCTTCCCTGCTGTATTATAATTGTTGCGCATTGACCAGTTGTACAGATGCTTGATTCCAACCCAGTGATGCTCCTGTTCTTTAAATAACTAATAATAATAATAATAATAATAATAAAAACTTTATTTTATATAGCGCCTTTAAAGGTGGCTTCTCAAAGCGCTTTACAGGATGACAATTACAATAAATAAGATGATTTCACAAGATAGGACACAATTATAATTACAACAATACAACAATAACAATAGAGGAGACCGTGGAAGGTGGTATTAAGAAGAGCAGAGGGGTGAAGAATGGAACCAGTTAAGTAAAGGCTTTTCTGAAGAAGGTTTTGAGTCTAGATTTGAAGGACTTTAGAGAAGGTGACTCTCTAATATCCTTGGGCAAAGAGTTCCAGAGCTTGGGGGCATAACAGGAGAAGGCCCTGTCGTCCATACAATGTAGACGGGCTTAGGGAACAGTAAGGAGGGCAGAATTTGAAGAGCGGAGGTTGCGAGGTGGGGAGTAGGGCGATAAAAGTTCAGACAGGATTGAGGTGCCAAGCCATGTAAAGCCTTATAGGTGAGCATGAGGATTTTAAAGTCTACGCGGAATTTGACCGGAAGCCAGTGCAAGGACTCCAGGATAGGAGTAATGTGAACACTTGCACTAGACCTGGTCAGGATTCTGGCTGCTGAATTTTGGACATACTGCAGCTTTTTCAGAGTAGATTTAGATACCCCAGGGAGTAGAGCATTGCAGTAGTCAATTCGAGAGAATACAAATATGTTGATCAGCTTTTCAGCCACAGTTAATGATAGCATAGATAACTGTTGGTACTTAGGTTTTCAGTTTAAAGTCTTAGTTAACAGGTCATACCACACACCATCCCTCTCCCTGACTTCTTTAACCATAAATTCACAAAGTAGAAACAACAGAAAACAAGTGAGAGAAAAGCATACTCAAAAGAGAAAGGATAATGCAAATCAATTTGTTGACATTATAATCATCTAATAATATGTCGACGGTCGACCGTTAGAAATAGAAGGGAAGAAAATTTAATTTTAGGGAAGCGAAATTAGACTAAATGAAAAGTGCATTATCCTTTCTCGGAGACCGCAAAATGCGTAACAACTTATTCGAAGAATATTTGCAAAGAAAATCCTCAGCGAGATCAATCTGCCATGAAAGACGCTTTAAAAAATGCTTACACACTATTTTTTCGAAGATAAACACCCTTGTTCATAAATCAGAAAAGGAGACATTGTTTACATCAAAGTCCCATGCACAACAAAGGTGTTGTACAGTGTTTTCTACATAATCTGTTCTAAGACGATTTCGACAAACATTTGTATACTGTACAGTAAGTAAAAAATGTAGCTCTGTGATTAGAAAGTCATATTTCCAAACATCTGTATTTAAAACTGTTATACTTTGCGGTCTCATTTTAAACATTCATTACCGCGAATTGATGATGATATTATGCTAAAAATGCGAATTATAACGTTTCCCTTTTAGCCTGTACTTTAAAAGCTATACATTGTTTTTCTCTGTTAAGGCCAATTATACGTTGTTTTCAGAACACCATTTTTTGTTCTTCAAGACATATCTATATATATATATTCAAGATATTTTAAAATGAAATAATTTATATATTACTAACCTAATTCAGATTTTATCCACACTGGCAGGCGTTTTACACTTGCATAGGTAAGAAAAATAAAAAATATCTGAAAAGCGGCCCGTTATGTGCTTGTACACTATTAAAAGATTGAGTTTTTAGCATGCTTAGTTCGTACTTACACATCTGTAGTCGTCAGAATCTGTATTAAACAGAGTGCAGCGACTGCTATTGTTCATCCTGACCGTAAAGTATTGATTTCCCATGGTAAACTACAATTTAATTGAAATGTTTTCATGGTAAGAATCACTCATCATGTGTAGCTACAATATACACTCACTTCCTACAGCGCGTGAAGAAGGACAAAAATGTTTACAAGACGGCGACCGCAGAATACAAAATCGCAGATCAGTTTTTAAATTGTGTAGGCTAATTTATTTTTTGCAATATCTTTGCTCAAGGTAGCGATCCTGAATCAGACATCGTCATCGCTATTTCAAAACAAAATAATACAAAAACATTTTTTTTGTTTCAGAAGAGGAATTGCTTGGAGTCAAAATGATTTTCATTGTAACATTTAGATTATATATATATATTTCTGAAGCTCTTTGATGTACACAGATGTTTATGGTGAATCTTCTGGCGTGAACACATATCTAACAGGAAATTACCCCATCACTGCGGTTTAACACTTGCTTTATAAAAAACATGCTCTAACTTACAGGTAACAACTCAGAACAATATCTTACCAAAATATTTATTGCTTTCCTTTCATTTTTTGTACTCTAGTTATGATTTAAAATGACAAAAGTATGATTAATAATAATTTTGAGTCATTTTATTACTTGCAAATCCAAAGACGATGTACATAATGCATAAAAAACAATAAAAAATAATACAAGACAAACTTTAAGACAGTCAAGCACAGGCCTCAATTAAAAACGTTAATTTTAAGTTTAGATTTAAAAACAAGTGTAGACATGAAGGAGCTCAGGGATGAACACAGCCAGATTAGTCAGAGCCTTATAAATCAGTAACAAGATCTTGAATATGTGACTTTACGGGCAACCAAAGTAGAGACTTGAGAGTAGGAGTAACGTCCTGCCAGGGTCTGCTGTGAGTTAGTGACCAGGCTGCAGTGTTCTAGACATATTGCAACTTACTGAGCAGAGCGTTATGAACCCAAAGATCGAAGAGTTGTAGAAATCAAGCCTTGATGTTATAACAGCATGAATCAGTCATTCAGCACTGGACATTGACAGAAATAGCCTTATGCGGCCAGTATATATAAAATAAAAAAGAGGTCTTAACTAAATGATATTTTTCAGATAGGGCTCAAATGACAGGAGGGGATCGAAAAAAACTCCCAAATTCTGGGCTGACACCTGAATGGGGAAGCCATATGCCATTACTGTGAAAATCTCCAGGTTCCAGACCTGTACTACCCACCTGAAACATTTCTGTTTTGTCACTATTTAGCTTCAAAGAATTAGGTCAACCATCAACCAGAGCTTAATGTCACATAAACAAGTGATATGTGACGGAGGCAGGATATAAGAAGGGGAAGAGATTTTAATGTAGATCTGTGTATTCTGTGCAGAACTATGAAATTGAAGAGCATGCTTGTGTATGATCTGACTGAGAGGAAGCACATAAATAATAAAAAAACAGGAGGAACTGTGCAGAATTATGAGGACCAAATGAAACTAATAATAATAAGTCAAATTATGATTGTACCTTATGAAGCCATTTGATGCCATTGGTTGTCTAATGATCAGGCACTCAGGACCTGAGTCTAACGTCAGATTAAAAGGATTCAAAGGCATCTCCCAGTCACATACTGGGGCATTTGTGTAGAACATCTAGGACATTGCATATCCTCCCTCTCCCTTTGGGCACGTTTCCCAGTGTTATGTTACATTTTACTTCCACAGTCCAAAGACATGCTGTCTACATTAACTGGCATCTCTAAATGGTCCCCTGTACATGTATGTACGTGAATATGTTTGTGATCTGTTACAGATTTGTCCTGTCCAAGATATACTGTATCCTGCATTGAGTCAATTTTCTGCAAAGTTAGACAACAGCTTTTTGGACTAGGTCCAAGAACCCCATATTTGACTAAATCAAGGGTCCCCAGTCCAGGTCCTGGACAGTCAGTGTATCTGTGTATACAGGTTTTCAGTCCTGATGGGCTCATAACAAGCAGAATCAGCTCATTGTTGGTTTAACCGGACCAATGTAGCAACTGTCATCTCTACAGGTGCTGGGTCTGTAAAGAGACCTAGAAACCTCGAAGAAACACCAGCTCTGAGGTTCAAGAACTGGAGCCCCCTGGACTGTGCAGTTTTGAAAATGGAGAAATGGTTCAGATGGAAGAGTGCCACCTACAGGTACACAAGCATTATTTACAGCAGGAGCACGATTTTCCTCAGAGGTATGCCAATGTCTTATTAAACAGGTCTAGCTTTCCTCACCTCCCAAGAGTTTATGAGATCATGTTAAAAGGTGGTAATACTGACATCATTAGCAGTGTCATTAGTGAAGCAGGAAAAGAGCACGCTGAAGACTAATGAGAGATCATGCACTTTTGTAAACATTGGATGAAGAAAAAGTTCTACACCATATAGCAAAAATAGCAGAAGGACATTGCTCATTGGTACTGTTTAACATTTCTGAAAGCTCTGTGCTTTCACCTTCATGCCTGACCTCTCTCGGGGCTCTTCCTTTTGAATGCCAGTCTGTGTCAGATGTGAGAACATCTGTTCTTATCTTCATGTTCCTGGAGTTCAGCTTCACTTATGTCACTGGTGAACACCACTTCCTTAAGCGGGGAATAGCCTAACCATCTGCTGAAAGGAAAGAATTGTTTCATTACTCATACTGTATATAGATAGATAGGAAACACCAGTGATAAGTGTCTTCTCCATAGACAGAATTTAATTTTAAAATTTGGCTCAATCTGCATTACATCTGCAGTTGCATTAGCACAATTAAAACATGATCCAGCAAAATGTACAATAGGTGAGTAATTTGAACAAGAACACATATATGGAAGAGGAATATCAGGGTCTTTGGCGAATCTTAACAAACTGTTTACTTATTCTGTATGAAAGTGGTTTCCACTTAGGAGAAATCCGCTTTTGTTTAGTTTTCATTTATTCTCCTGCACTCTACTGGATAAATGTTTTAAAACTTTTTTCATGTATTTAAATGTCCTGAAGACTTTGGTCAAGTCTCAGCTTGATTTGCATCAGAAGAGACTGAAAACACACCATACTTGGATGTGGACAAGTAAAAAAGGCTGTTGCTCTACAGAGCACTATTCATTTGTCCATCCCTTTCCTGACTGCTGTATTCAGTATGGAATCATGGGGGAGCTGAAGCCTATCCTGGCAGGCAGAGAGTACAAGGTGAGATATACAGTATCCTGGTCAGGATACCAGCCTGTCCCAGGGCACACAGACACAGACACACAGACACACACTCTCATTAGGGCCAGTTTTCTCAGAAGCCAATTAACCTGCCAGTATGTGTTTTGACTGTGGGTGGAAACCAGAACCCCCAGAAGAAACCCATGTGAACATACAAACTCCATGCAGAGAGAGCACCCTGGCAACTGAACACAGAGCCCCAAAGCTGCAAGACAACTATGCTAACCACTTTCCACCATGATTCCTTCACAGAACTGTCTGCTTCCCACTTAGTCACTGAAACGCCTTTGTGATGTCAGAACAGCTTTTTTTCTAGAGGGGAAAAAAAACTTTAAAATGTCATCTTGATAGTTCAATTTGTTAAGGTAGCTCATAAATCAGAGCCAGGATATATCTTGTTGTCCTTCTCTGGCACTTGTGAGTGTCCTTGGTATGATGTGGTGATCAGAAACAAATACAGAATGCAACTAGATTGGGCATACTAGATTGCTTCATAATAACCATTGCTGATTTGCATTCCAACTTCTCAGACATATGCTTTTGTATGTTTCGTAATATGCATAAACCATTTGATTATTTACACATTTCTTCCACAAAATATAAAGATGCTGCCAGAGTTCGATCTGTTGTAAGACCTTAAATCATTGACTTGAGCTGGTCTTTTTTGCCTTTTTACTTGTAGTTTTGTCTTAATTGGTGGAATACTGATGGAACCTGCATTAAGGTAATGCTGAGAGTATAAACGGTATATGAAAAAAATGCATACAGCAGTATTTTTAATACTTATTTTAATGTACCCTGCATCTTTTAAAGGTCATCATAATCTCAGGGTGTTTTTATGAATCACAAAGAAGTAATGATTTCAATACTCACTTTCTGCCTTAAAACCATCCTTCACCATTTTTAAAATCCTCATTCTCGGCATGGATATTATCTAATAACCTCATATTTTCACCTTATTTATTCCTAGGTAATGCATCTCTGAACACAAAGGTGGAGTGAATTGAGTGCTGAATGAAATGCATTTTAACAGATGGCCTTTTAGAGGAATTTGACAACAACATTTTTATTATTATTATTTTACTCTGTGCATCTTTCGTCTATATATGGCTCACAATAAAACTGGATTTGCAATATGACAAATTTACACCACAAAAAGTCAATTTCCTGTATACACTTATTTTAAGCTGGGAATGTACATATAAAACACTTCATTGGGGAGTTTTATTGGACAGGAATAATAACCTTCTTGTTTTCTAAAAAAATAAGGTAAACAACATTAGTTAAACACATAGTTAAACGAAACAGTTTTTTGTGAATCTTGGTTGAAAGGTTAACTGTAGAGACCACAGTCCTGTTTATCTCTGCATTATTGGTAACTGAAATCAAAATGTCATTCTTTTTTTAGCCAACAGCGATATCACCCTGTAACTCACAACTGGCAACCCACAGAAGCTCAGCAGGCGTGGCCACTACATGGCTAAGGTTGCTGCTGGAAGACGTGTTAGTGGGGCCAGTAGGGGCTCTCACTCTGCGTTCTGTGTGGGTCTTAATGCCCCAGTATAGCGATGGAAACACGATACTGGAAAAAGGCGCCGTCCTTCGCATGAGACAAGGTCTCAGAGGTCCGTGCTTTCTGTGGCCATTAAAAATGCCAGGGTGTTTCTTGAAAAGAATAGGGGTATAATCCTGGTGTCCTGCCCAAGTTTCCCCCTAGCCTTTACTAATCATGGCCTCCTGATAATCCCCATCTATGAATGTACTAGTGCACTGGCTGCCATCCATCATCCAGGTTGGGGCTGCACATTGGTGGTGGTAGTGGGATTCCCCATTACCTATAAAGAACTTAAGAGTGTCCAGAAAAGCACTGTAAGTGTAAGGAATTATTATCAATTATTATTTTAAAACCTTTTAAATCATACAATTTGTTTAAGGTATTTGTTTAAAGTCATGACAGTGCCAAAACATGAAGGTTGGATAATGTTTGACTGCAGCAGACAGATTTCCTTATACCGATGCCAGAGTTTGTCAGTAATAAAAAACAAACAAACAAATAAATAAAAAAATATTCACAGCATCTTGCACTTTTTTTTCAGTGACATCTGCTAAAAAACTGTGGGCTTGTGGGCCAAGAGGAAATATACGTTCTAAGCATTGCATTGCACTGAAGGCAGCACAATGATTAATGACCACATTGAAGCAGACTCCTGCCCACACCAGCTGTAGTGCATGTTGGCATGCTCAGCTGTACAGGAGAATCAGTCCACTTCTTACGTACGATGAGATAAACACAACCCATTACTTTCAGTTCCTTGGAGAAACCTAAAACAAGACACAACGTATGTCATTTTCCTTCCTCTAACATTCCTCTGTCTTCACAATAACTATTGCAATTATGGAGGTGGCCAAATGCCTTTAGAATTGAAATGCTTTGAAAAGGGTGCTAAAGTGATCCTGGGCTGGAAAAACTGGCAGAATCTGCCAGCCAGTCTCCCTTTGCATTTTAAGGAGGCGCCAATGTGCTTTTCATTAAAAAGAGCCTTTGGGAAGGCTTGGGAGCTGACACTCTGCTGGATGCAGTCCTGTTGGTCACCTTCCAGGGTAATTCAGAGAGACAACATGATTCTTCTAAAATCAGAACAGTGCTAGAAACTGATGATCATGGAAAAAACAGTTTAACTCACACTCAGTCCCCCTTCTTTGAAATTTAAACTCTTAAATACTTGTGAGCCAATAATATTTCTGTCCAATACTATCCTGACCCAGGATACAAACAATCCTCAAATAAAACAGTGTATAGTTTTCAACTTGCAAATAATGTATTATGCTACAGGAAATCTGAACTGTGCTCCCTAGGGTCTGGAGTCCCACAGGTTTTCTGTGTCTCCTTAAGCTTTAAACAGCTCTTCATCTGGGGGAGGTGTCAAATTGATCCAATTAAGGTTTAACTGATACATTTTATCTCTTCTCCACAGACTAAAGCTGTTGACAATTTAAAGAGGAAGAAAAAGCTGCTGGATTCCAGATGCCAAGGTCTCGAGTGGGAAACTTCTGAACTATGGGAGTAGATTATGATTTGCAAGGAATGCAATTATACTGCACTGGCCACAGCTGCGTGGGGTGCTCAAGAGTACTAGCAGTCCATGTGGGATCCACAGCATGACTGGAAGGTGAAATAATTCTTTATTAAATTTTAAGTTGAATAATTTGAGTAGTATTCTCAATTTATGCAAGTATATTATCTAGCTAACCAAATCAGAGGAGGGGGAGGATTCCTGTCCATTCTTTGCCTCAGCAGCATTTATTCTAACAATATCCTGGCATTGACATTCTATAACTATGAAAGCGTTAAAAACTTTTATTCCCCTACTAGCTATGTTTTCATCTTTCAGAATTTGCTGTAGCTTTCAAAAAACTAAATCCTTCTGCTTCTCGTGTGATCGTATATAAATGGATTGTGACATACATCAATATGTGATCGGGCATAAAGGTGTACACATTATTTTGGCCTGTTGTTTTGAATGGCATATAATTTAACTGGTCAGTCATCCAAGTGGTAGAGAAAAAAATTGATATTCAATCAATCAATTGAACATATTGGGTTTTATTCTACACTTAAGAGTAAAAGTTGGGGTTTTAACCCTGGTGTCCTGGCTAGATTTCACTCTGGACTTGCTCTTTAAATGTATCTCTCCTCCCCGTTGATTCAATTGGTGGACAGTTTCTCACTTCTCGATCTGCTGAAGTGAGGTTCCTTGCACATAGGTGGGTGTCCACATCAAGGCGGCTCAACTTGATAAGATCAGATAAGATCACTGTATTGGCCATATACAATTTCTTGCATTAGAAATGTGTCTTTTTGCATTCCCCAACTTGCTCTCCATGAGACACACAGACAGGTAGAGAGGCTTGGGGTCAGAACGCAGGGTCTGCCATTTATACAGCACCCCTGGAGCACTAGGGGTTAAGGGACTTGATCAGGGGCCCAACGGAGTAGGATTCCTCTGCTGGCCATGGGATACGAACCGGCAACCTTCCAGCAAAAGGCTCAGATCCTTAGCGACAGATTGCTGCTTTGTAGCCAAAACACACTGCCATAGCTCCTTAATTGAACCTGTCAAAATAGGGAATTTGCTACTTGAAAGACATATGTGTGTTTAAAAACTTTCTGGCCTTTTTTTACATTTATTTTTCCAATGTAATAAGCCTTTTTATGTTGTGTAATCATGTTAATTGAAAACCACAGGTATTGCATTTTGAAGCAGTAACAATGTCAATATGGATTATTCTTTCAGAAAAGAGAAAGGTGTGCCCACTTTGGTCCATTACAGAAAATGAGAAAAGACCGAGGGGGCTGTGGTGCTCCTTGTGAAGAAATATACACGCGAAACAGAGTTCCTGGGATGGTCAGACAGTTGTGTCAGCGCTGAAACTGCAGTTTGTAACTTTGCCCAGAACTGACTGGCCAGGCCACAACACAGAAACTCCCTCTGATTAAGCACTAGTTAAGGCCAAGTACAGATTAGAGAAGAACTTCCATCTCATTATAGTAGCTTGGCAAAACCTGCTAATCTAACACAACTAAGGATGGTAGGGCCAGAGTAAAACTGCACCTACAGTACATAGCTAAAAAAAAGTTGGATCTCTAAATAACTAAAAACTAGGGATTCTGCCCCCTTTTTCCTATTAGTAAGTACAATGTGTTGCAATTTATTATACAAATCCTCTTATCCCTCTGTACTCATACTTTCACTAAAGCAAATTCAGGTATTTTCCCCCAATAGACTAAGGGGAGCTTTTCTTCTGTGGTGGAATTCCAGCCACGTTCCTTTCAAGACAGGAGAACTTTCCAGAACTTTCCTGCCAGAAGGCAGGCCAAAGAGTGTGAGAAAGTGTAAGTCACTGAGACAATGGGTAGGTCAAACCAGCTGAACCTGTCAGGGTTCCTGCGGGACTAACATTCCACTCAAGTTTCAGTCATTCCAGCAGGCCTGACGCAGACGTTCAGGCACGACAAACACTCGCCGATGGCAGAGGCACAATACTTACAATGTGCTGAATGAGACACACCCCCACAGGGGGAAAAATAGAGTCATACGATTCCTGTTGTTTTTTCGTATAGGTGGAAATTGCATTTTGTGTTTCAAGAGAGCGACACAAACATCCATCCATCCATTTTCTAATCTGTTTTATCCAGCACAGAGTCACGGGGGTGGGGGTGGGGGTGGGGGACGGAGCCTATTTCGGCAAGCAATGGGTGCAAGGCAGGATACACCCTGGAGGGGATGCCAGTCTATTTCAGGGCACTCAGACCAGGGACAATTTTCCCAGAAGCCAATCAACCTACCAGCACATCTCTGAACTGTTGGACGAAACCCATTCAAACACAGGGAGAACATACAAACTCCAGGCAGATAGCACCCCTGCAGAGCCCTAGCTTGCACCACTATGCCGCCTATAAAAACATGAACCTACCAAATATTAATAAGACTCTGTAATGCCTTAGATGATGGAAACTTACATCCCCTTAGCTAAAATCCTATTATAGAGGTTCAATGACCTCCTACGTCACACCCAGAGGTATTTTGCTGGAACTATTTTCTGGTATGAATACAAGCAGCTGCCTTGAAACGATGTCTAATTAATCTTTGTAACTAGTCTTTTTATTTTTTTTACATCATGATTATATAATATTCAAAATCCACAATGACCATAAACGTCTTTGGCCACATTTATTTACCTGTACACTTCAGCGTCCATCTGAACCGTTACTCAAAGCAAAGTTCAGTTCCTTCTGGACACATTTGAAGTGACTCTGATAAATATTTACACCGCAAAGGAAACGGTGGGATTTTTAAATGGCGATTCAGCTGCCGAAATCATTCTGGGTTTTCTTCAGCCTCTGTTGTTCCTTCAGTTCTGTACCTTTCACATTCCTCCCCGTATTTTCATTCAGCCCCTTGCGTTGGACTCGCCCTTTCTTAGTCACCTAGACAAAACTTAACTTCCTGGAAATATGAGTATTTTCAGTGAACAATATCGTCGCAATGTAAACATGAGATTCAAAAATCTTTATTTTCTGTACATTATCTTTACAGAATGTAAAAAAATAATAAAGAAAACGATAAAGATTTTTGTCTTAACATACAACACCACGTGGAATCCGTCATTACTCCATACAGCTACATAGAATAGTCAGTTGATTCCATACAGTTTATACATCACTGGCCCATACGAGTCATCGGCGTTGCATTTGAGGCCTCATGTGCTCAGTTAGGTACAGCATGTGCTACGACAGCCCGCAAAGTGCGTCAGAGCGCCTTTCGACTAGTCTTCATTGCACTGCCTTCCCGTATCGGGAACACAATAAAATAACTTTTGCGTCTGGGCGCTTAAATAAAATTCTGAGACAACGTAACAAACGTAAAATGTTAAACTTTTTTTTTTATACAGACAGTTCGCGTTTTCAAGAAATACATTAGCAGAAACAGTAACAGCGGTAGTGCAATCAGCCATAAAACAAGATGCTATCTTTCCACCAAGCGAACTAGTACAGAACAACCCCACGCCTAAGAAGTCAACTTTATTTTTCTTTCCGGAGCTTTAAAAAAAAACAGGTTACCCAAACCACCCCCCGAAAAAAGCCCTAATCTGCCTTTCTTCCTTGGGCTCTGCTGATCCGTTCGACCGAACTTCATCCGCCGTCTTGTCAAACCCAGTTGCTGGGTTCGGCTCACAGGCAGCACCAGCGAGACAGAAAGGTGGCCGGCTGAGGCGCCTAGTGGCCCCAGCTCCCGATGCCTATCTCCTGCTTGTATCTGTTGGTGAGGGTGTTCGCTTTCCTCGTCAGCTTGGACAGAACCGTGTGCAGTCCGCTCAGGTGGAAGTGAAACATTTTCTGCAGGTCCTCCTCCTCTTCCTCGGGCTCGATCCTGGAGAGGTCCAGCGCGGAGGCGCCCAGCTTGTCCTTTTTCCTCTCCTCCCCCTGCAGGACCCCCCACTCGATATCATTCCGGATGGACTTCAGGAGGACGTAGTAGCTGTACATGTCCCGGTCCGAGAAATAGCCCGCCGCCCCGGGGCTGCCTGTCCTGAGGGAGTTGTTCACCTCGTCCTTCTCCTCGTACTCCAGAGGCACGTCTCTCAGGAGGCTGGGCACCATCACAGTCTGGTCCATGTTGTTCACCGCGCCGATGAACCGGTTCATGGCATTGAACAGCGAGTGCTTCTGATTGTAGGAATCTGCGATCTGCATCATCTCGACGGGAATTCGCTTATTTTCACCCTTCTTGACAGCCGCTGTGGGATATGAGCTGATCCGGCGATAGGGAAGGCAGCTTCAACGCGAACCGCACGCAGCCGCCCTTCAGCTATGATTATAAGCGCCTTAGCCTTTTGTTCTTCCTCTGTGCGCTTAAGTGCTCTCCGCTAATGCTGTTTAATCATCTGCTTGGATTCAAACCAGCGCTGTAGTAGGGTTTTTTTTTTATTTATGTGACAACTCAGTGAAGGGTATTTTGTGCTGCGGCTGTTAGGCTTTTATTTTATTTTACTCCAATCGGATCGCGCCTTTAGTGGGGTTGAATTTTGGGGGGTTACGGTGGAGTTCGTTTGTCTCTTGGTTCTGTCAGCCCCCCCACCTCCAACGGGGAAAAAAAAAAATCACCACTTGATAATATTTCCTTTTCCACAGCTGCGTCGGGCTTGCCTGCTGGTGATGGTGACGTGAAACGAGGCGATGGCGCTCCAGCTGTCCGGCTTGGCCTTGTCGGTAATTTCAGTCTCTTCTCTAGAAACAAAACCCTTATCCTCCCTGGGAAACAGGTACCCTTTGGCAGCTTGCAGCCGGATCCCAGTCAATGACCTGAAATAACACAGAATGGGTTAGTCGTGTTTAACTCTTGAAAGCCCTTCCTCTGTGCAGGCACACAGGATCTGGTAACTATCACTGGGTGCCGGCTGGGCTTTGTAAAGAAAGGTTTTACATATTTGGGTGTGACACAGCACTTCCTCGTCTGCCTGTACTATTTTCCCCGCTTGTTAAACCGATCCTATGATGCAATACCCTCCTGTTCGCAATTAACCCACGTTGTGTGTATAATGTAGAAAGGTATCGGCAATTACTTAAATGCAATCTTTAAACAGCTAGCCCTTTAATATTATGCAGCAGATGATGGGTTCAGGTCGTAAATCTCTCAGCAGCGCGATATTATTTAGGCATTTCAAACGCTGTGGGTTAGGCAAGTAAATTCGTGCCAGACATACACACATCCTGCAGTGCTGGGCGGCCAACTACAAAGCTAAATATTAAAAGACTGAAAAACACATCTCGGAAACGGATTAGACACCACACGCCTTTTTTAAAAAACAAAAACTAAAAAACGTCCGGATCCGAGTGAAGAAACCAAATTTTAAAAACCGTCTAAGCGGAAACATGAAGGTTAGTTAAGCCGTCGCAAGTACACACACACATTCACATCTGTAATAATGTATAATTAGCTTACAGTTCAGTGTTTCAGGGTGTGATACATTGGGTTCTCCGTGTAGTATCCCAGAACAGATTTCAGCTATTTTTTTTTTTATTTTTCAAAGAACTTTATCAAGGCTACAATACGCCTAAATAGCATCAGGGAGGACCCAGGACTCAGTCACGGACAATGCGGTACAGGCACTCGCGTAACTGAGCCCAGTGATGAATATGCATGAGAAAGGCATCAGCCCACAGCCTTACCTCCGGTTTCAGCCAATCGCGGCTCAGCCGGTCGACTTGCGGCCCGAGGCTGGGCCCTGATTGGCCAGTCAAGCCGGGACTTCCTTGTCTGAGGGCTGCGTCTCTGGTAACAGGCCTTCTGCCAAGTTACAGTGGAAACTACGAGCCCGGAACACGTTTAACCCTACAGGGTCCGAAATGCTGCGATGCTTGAATGTCCTTCGTCACTTTGATGTCTGGAGGTCTGCAGAACAGAGAGTGGGTGCTCAGCTGACTCGCCACCCTGTATCAACCTACTGCACGTCCTTAATAACGGCCTTAGTGGCTCGTTAGATGCCGTAGTTTCCGAAAAACGCTTGGTATCATGACAATTCTGAGGGGGGGAAAACTGGCTGAATAAAAGATATTTTAGAAAAGATAACTCAAGTTTCAGCCCCATTTCTGCGGCACCCTAATGAAGAGTATTGGCTCATTGCTTGGGGTCTCCTGCTGGTTTGTAATGGCGCGTTTATTAATTTAAATATGCTAATTAATGGTGTTGTTCACAGTGTTCTCCCCATAAAGAAACGACTGTATGTTTCTCCTGGTCTATACAGATGAAGACTGGAGTCAACCTCTCTTTTTATTGCCAACCCACCAACCCATCGAAGTACATCAATTGTGTGCCTTTCGTTTTGTCCAAGTATATAACTATTTTTCAATATTATTCGTTTTTTTCCTGAATTCAGTTATTCAACGGCAAGCACAAAACAGACCGAGATGTGAAAATATGGTTCTTTGAACAGTGGATGTTACTTATGCATCAAATTGGTTTTTTTTAATTGAGTAATAATTATTGCACCCCTGTGTTGTTTTAATGCACAATTTATGGTAAAAAGTTATATTATCGTCTTTTGTGTCCAATTCAGACGGAATCAGAGGGGTCTAATAAATGTCTTAACGCCGTTGCTTGGCTAAATTAGAGCATGCACAAAACGTCAAAACGCTCAAGATTATGATGGTTTAGCGGTCGTGCTTCACTTTGAAGAAGGCAGAGATGGTAGATTTCGGATCCTACCTCCACAGAATCTACTTACAGCTGTTGTTAGATTCAGGTAAATATGGGTGTCATTTTCAAAGTATATAGAGCGTTCGTTCTCAAGTCGCAACGTGAGGGTAGCTCGTCAATGAGTGCAATATTTATTAATTAAATATGTATTTAAACATATTAAGGATTACTTTTATTTTATTGAAATGAAGTGTTTTGAGTGCACATTGTGTGTCACCTCCGTAATACAGTTTATCTTAGGCGTGTGCTGACTACGTAGGCGGGAGTGGTGTGATGCATCTTGTTGAAACACGCTTATGGGCAAGATATTTTAACGACCGCAGGGTTCGGCACGGAATAGAGCAGGCGTAAGACTCAGGAAAAGGAGTTGAACAACACATTTATTAACCAGAACCGGGGAAAGGTACACACAGGGACAGGGGTTGCAGCACTGCACTACTACTGACACGGGAGAGAAGAGGGAGCCTCACGCCCCCCCCCATACAGTCCAGTTTTCCCCAGTCCCGCCCCTCAGGCGCTGTTCCCAGCCCGCCCTGGGGGCGCATGACCAAAGGGAATTAAGCAGACGTTAAGCACCCACATGGGCGCTACACTGCCCCCACCTGAGAGTTGAGCGTGCTGCTGGGACTCTCCGCGCGCCTGGCCTCTCTCCGCGCCAATCCCGCTGGGGCTCTCCGCGCACTGGTCCTCTCTTTGCGTGCCAGGACTTTCACCGCGCCGCGCCACTCCTGCTGGGGCTCTCCCCATCAGGCCTCTCTCCGCGTGCCAAGCCTTTCACTGCGCCGCTCCCGCTGGGGCACACCAGGCCTCTCTCTGCGTTCACCGGCGTCTCTCCGCGCTCAGAACTCCTCTCCGATCCCACTGTTGACACCAATGTAACGACCGCGAGGTTCGGCATGGAATGGAGCAGGCGTAGGACTCAGGAAAAGGGGTTGAACAACATTTATTAACCAGAACTGGGGAAAGGTACACACGTGGGGACAGCGCTGCACCTATAATAACACACACACAGGAGAGAAGAAGCCGCCTCACAGTCCGGTTCCCCCAAGTCCCGCCCCTCAGGCGCTGTTCCCAGCCCGCCTTGCTTGTGCATGGTCAAAGGGAACGGAGCAGCCTGTAAGCTCCCCACGTAGGAGCTAAAATATATATAATGAAGATTTTCAGGTGCATCTTAAAATAGGCTAGGCTTATCGTAAAAAAAATATAGATCGTGGCCCCCAACAGATCTAATTATGCCAGTATACGTTTTTTCGACAAGAGGTGAAAGCTTGAGTTCTGGCTTGAGTTCTATGAATTAACGCCTTAATAGCATTTAACATTAGAGGTCGGCAGTCATGTGTCTATATGACAAACTGTAAATTCTTCTCTGCAGTGGTCGTTATTGTGGTTTTTATAGCCTGCAAGTTTACAGGATACACCAAGGACCTCTTCCAAAAGCACATGGTTTGTATTTGTGATTAAAACTGGGCTCTTTACAAAAGAGAAACTGTTTTCTGCAGCCTTTTCGTTTCCGGTGTGGCAGATTATCAGTTTAACCGAGTCATTTTAACCAAACCGATTTACATGCACACCCATGAGAAAAACATGGAATTTTAAACCACAATCTTCCAGTTACACCCTAACCCAATAGTACTAATGCTCTTGCACATTAGCTACAGGCATGAGAAACAGGCACCTACACACATGGTAAATTTGCACCTATCCTCTGACGCCTGGAAAAAAAAATGCTCTTGTAGGTGTTTCACTGGCAGCCGGGACTGTTAATTGTTTTCCGAACAGGCCACTAAGGGATGTTGGTGGCCTTACCATTTTCAAAGGGGGAAAGCTGGCAAGACTGTCCCAGCAATGTGACTGGGAGGGAAAACAAACCCAGCGCAAAGCAAGGCAGAGATCAGTTGGTAATTATTAGTGATGTCACAGAGCCACAAGGGAGTAAAGCAATTAAAGATTTAGGGATTAAAGGGCTGCTAATAGGGTTCTTACCAGCTGAACAGAGCAGCCGTGAAAACCGAGCAGTCTCTGTGCTTGGAGATGTGCACGCAGCGGATTCCGTGCTCCGCTCCGGGGGACGTCGCTGAGTGTGCTCATCATCCCTGCACGCTTATTAACGAATACATCCTCGGAGCTCAGGAAGACAGCTGCACTGCTGCACTGCACTGCACACAGATTTTGAAATTATAAGTAGCAGTGTCATTAGTACTGCATACACACATCTCATAATAAATAAGAGCACAGGCTTGATAGAGTAAAACAGTTATCTGTCTCACTGCATCTAACCTTTGCTGTGAAAGAAGATAAAAATGCAATGGGTAACTGCTTAATTTTTCATCAATCTAAATCCTAGGCATCATAATGGCACAATCTACGGCTGTTGTTAACTATTTTGGATTTTTTTATTTAATTACAGTCATTTTGCTACTCCAAATCAGGAGCTAACAGAGAGTCATCACAGCAGAAGTGCAGTGCATAGTCCTCCGCAATACAGAATGCATTTGTCCGCAGGGTCCGAGCTCGAGATTTTGACAAAAGCCTAGACGAAAATCATAGAATTTTTATAGAAGAAAAATGACATCATTTTGGTGACCAGGGCTAGGCAAGTGAATGTCATTGGTGCCCATAATCAGATGCTTACTGGTGTAGCTCTTGTATCTATAATTGCAGTGGTGTTACCCTGAAGGACAAGCCAGCTCAATGATCTCGCCATGAAATCCACATACATACAGTACCCTCCGTACTTGAAACCATATGACTGGAATGCTATCATTCTGCTACATCTATTTTCTTTTCCAGCTGAGCGCCGAGCGCTTTAGGTTTCACCTCATTTATCAGCGTTATAAATTAACATTGCAGTGTGCCTTGTCTGTCGACTCAAACAGGGCTAATAAATAACTTACAGTCAGAGTCACCGCTGAGTGAAAACCCGAGCCTGCCCTTTAACATGCTCAAGGGCTGGAAAGAGGAAAACGCGGTCTCTGATTGCGAACACCAGTGGCCTTTGTTGTGGAGAGGGAAATTGTTACGGTAACTGCCATGGCAACCAAAGAGAGACGCAGGCAGATCTGGTATTCGAGGTGGTCAGCTACAGTCTCTCCCAATACACACACACTGTACGCCTGCCTTCTTTCATATTGTTTGCATTTTGCCTTATTTAAAGAAAAATAGCTTTAAGTTCACCTTCTCATTTGCTTAGAATTCAACTGGAATTTCTGAAAACAAGATACCTGGCTCATTTCTAACAAAATTCCCACACGAGCTGTACCTCTATCAGCAGTAACCAGGAACTAGTGCAGTATCAGCATTAAACCTGTGGTGTAAGAGACAGATGTTTATTCTCTAAAAGGAAACAAACTTTTGCAAAATCATAAAAAAGTATGAACTATTGTGTTTTAATTAAGACAGAGGCAGAAAATAGAGTGAGAGTAGCAGCTTAATTCATTACAATTGAAATGATTTATGGCCATTTATTTTTTTCTGTAGGGCTTGAACATGAGCCTGGTTTTTAAACCTTAATATACTGGACCTCAATCTGTTCTAAACCTACGGTATACTGTGCTCTGCCACCTCACTCTTTAGCAAAACAGCAGGTTGGTGGGAAACAGACTGAACAATATTATGAGAAGAAATGTTTATTCAAAACACCCATTTTTGATTGAAATCTAGTCTGTCTGGTAATGCATGCTGCACAAATGAAACAATAGTAATTTTAAGACTTGTAGCACCCAAAATGATACTGAATACAAGATGCTGTGTGTGTGTACAATACCTAAATCCGACTAGCGCCTCAAATAGGTTACCACAGAACAACATAAGCTCCCCCTTAAATGGGGCAAGAAGGTTCCAGAAATGTTATAAAAAAACACCCTTTTCTCTCAATTAAACAGCAAGGAACTCAGGCACTATGTGTATGCTCATGCTCTTGATTATCAGACGGAC